CGGTGGTATGATAGGAGCAGAGGGCAGGGCGGTGTAGACCCAGGCCCCTGGGGGTGGGGGCGGGCAGCTGGGTCAGGAGACGCCAGGCTGGGGGCTCGTGTGCTTGGAGGGACCACAAGTAGGAAGCGAATGAATGTGGATGAAGCACCTACCAAGTGTCAGGCATTCGCAGCTCAGGAACCATGGACAGAGCTTATGGGCTGGTGCTGATGCCTCCCCAGAAATCAAGTCCCCCTTCCTTATTCGCAGCACCTTGTCTTGTTTAGAGTTCTCCACTTTGGCAGCCACTGTGACTATTTCCCTTACTAGTTATTAGTAGAGCAGTAACCATGTGAACCAGTTCTGACCCATGAGACCAGAGGGGAAGTCTGAAGGAGGAGGAAGTCTGGGAAAATAAGAAAACTGTAGGAAGATGCTGTCTTCTCCTTTGTTGGGCGCTGTCAGGCCTGGATGTGACACCTGGAACAGCAGCAGCCATTTTGTGCCCAGAAGGGGGCTTGGCGGAACAGAAAGGGGAAAAGGGCCGGGTCCTGGATGATACCACCGAGCAGCTGCATTAACCAGCCCTGGTCTTCTTATGATTGTTTCAGATCATTTTTCCTCCTTATTTAAAGGTCAGGGTTTCCCATGACTCTGCCCAATTCATGCAGATACAAGAACAAATTTTTATCCCCATTTTACAGATGAAGAGAGTGAGTGAAGCCCAGCCAAGTAAACACACTTGCCTCAGGACACACAGCCCGCACATGGTGGAGCCAGGATTTGAACACTCTTGTCTTTGGAGGAGAAACTTTCTTAAGGGTGGTAGGATGTTTTCCCCCTAATAACTAACTGATGTTTTTGGCCTTTCCAAAGCATACACAGCAAGAGGGTGTAATGGCTTCTAACAGGTGAGGACAGGCAAGTTCGGTGGAATTGTGACTCGGGCCCAGCTCCCCAGATCTCAGCTCAGGGGCTTCTCAGCACCTCAAGATACTCAGTGACATCACAGAATCCCTCTTGTTCTTAGCCACCCCACCTTTGGGATGCATCTGCTGGATCCTACAGATTTGCCTTTGGCCTCTGCAGGGTGGGGCTGCTGATCCTGAGATTGGCCACCAGGGGTCGCTGTAGTCACACCCAGGGCCTCCTCCCAGGAGGCCTGAGGGAAGCTTGGAACCTGAGAACGTGGTGGGGAAGAGCGCCTCGCTGAGCTCCCCTTTAGGTGCGCCCTGGGGCTGCAAGGCTCAGGAACGGTCCCCTCGGTGCCATCCCCTGCAACAAGGAGAGAGGCCGCCTAGATCGGCCTCTGGAGTGTCTAGGTCCTATAGCTGTGTGCCCTTAGGCAAGTTGCCTCCCCTCTCTGAACCTCACTTTTCTTTTTCAAAATAGGAGTCCCCACTTCACCGATGAGGGCTTCCTCTCTCTCCTCAGGGGTGTTTCCCTTCATTTGGGTCTAGTTTGACAGGGGGATGAGGACCGGAGAGGATGTGGTGGCCCCAGAATTGAGGCCCATCTCCAGGTCAGGGTTGGGTTCCAGCCCCTTGCTCTGCTGCTGCAAACTCATTAAGTCTTTGTGTTGCAGTTGGGGAAACAGGGAGGCCCTTTGACAAATCAATTGAGGCTCAGCGAGGCCACCCAGAGCGCCCAGGGTTACACATGGAGTCTATGGGATCTGAGGCTAGTGGGTTGTTCTTTTTTTTTCCCCCTCCTCTTCTCCTCCTGCCACCATCTGGCAAGTTGGTGGTGATGGTGATTTAAACAGAAAACTTTGTGCACTGGGGGTTCACCCACCACACCGTCCAGGTTCCAGGTTCCAGGTTTCACCTTCCAGCGGCCAGCACAGGGGCTGGGGGACACCCCCGGGCCCTTTAAGAGAGCCAGGGTGCACAGGTGCAGTGTAGTGCCTGGAACCAAGGCACCCATAAATGGCATGGGCGTGGGCGCGGAATCCTGCGGAATCCTGGCCGCAGCTGGGAGCTGGGTAACTCTAGTTCGAAGTCACTGCTGGCAGGTCAGCGGTGGAACTTGTCTTGGCTTCTGATTCCCAGAAATGGGAGAGCTCTCAGGCTGGGATGTGGGTCAAGAAAACCAGGAGCCACCCTGGAAAGGTGAGTGTCCCTTCTATCGGTCCCTCTGATCTATTCGTCAAATGGACTTGCCAAGTCCGCGTGCCTCTCGGGGGCAGCTCTGATGGCTCTGTAAGACGTGGCGGTCTCCCCAAACTAGGTGTGGCAGTAAGTGGTAATGATAGTCGATGTTATGTGCCAGCCTCAAGTGGCTCCCCTATTGGACGGCTCGGTTCTAAGAAGTGTGAGCCCGAGGCAGCTACACGGAGAGAGCGGGACCTCCCAGGGGCCCGGGAGACCGGGAGAAGGGGGAAGGAGCCGCTGGCGGTGGGGCTGGATGGAATGGCAGGGCCTTCCCCTCTGTTCCTGCACCCAGCACCAGGTCCCTGCAGCCAAGGGTGTGGGGGCCAAGGCTGGACCAAGGTCTAGAGCCAAGTGGGCCATACTTGGGGGTTGGTGGTGGTTTTGTGTTCTGGTCCTCGCATGGCAATTACGAGCGCAGGCTCTGCACCAGAAGGCCTGTATTCTTTCCCAGTGGCTTCTCTGTTCTCAGCCTCAGCTGTGTGGCTTTGCGCAGATGGTTGCCCTTCTCTGAGCCTCTCTAGCCTCATCTGTGCTTGGGAGGGTGCACCTGTATCCCATGCACCTGGAAAGCTGTGAGCACTAAATGTAGCAGGTCCTCAAATAAGGTCGTTTTGTTCAACGCTGTTTCATTGTAACACTGATGAGACACTGCAGGAACTTAACTCTTGTTTGTATGAATTAGCCTGTGGTCAAATTGGTTTTTGTCATATCTCGTTTTGCATAAAGTCGCAGAATCTATGGACGCTAAATGGACTTACTGTACCGTCTGATGCCAAACCAGGTGCGCAGTTCGCCTGCAGTGACTGGGGCTGGTGGTAATTGTAGCGCTGATGGTAACATTCCCACGTCGCTGCGCTGCTCCTCCAATGTTGTAATCAAAGGTGATTGATATTGTAAAGGGCACGATGCTGGAGGACCATTTGAGATCAGCTAGCTCAGCTCCCACAGAGGGGAACCCCAGCTGGCCTGGGACGTGGCCAGACTGGCTGTGCCACATGCCTCTACATGCCCTGCTTGCCGACCCACCCGGCAGAGGATGAGAAGGTTTCCCAGGGAAGGAGAGAGGTCCTCAGCCCCCCACCTGCAAATGTGAGGGACCTGGCCTGGAAGGTGGTGCTGGTCTTGCCTCGTTCCCCTGTGGGTGGGCTCAGGACACGGAGGCGTGGGTGACCCTGACACCATGCTGGCGCCGAGGTGGCCCCAGCGGTGGTCCCCGGGGCAAGCTGAGCCACAGGCCAGCACCCAGCCCCAACCCTGGCTACAGAACCCGCGGCCCTGCCCTCTCCCGAGTTCCCCTGTTGCGCTTTTGTCTCCTTGAATTCCATCTCTGATCTGGTTCGGGGCAGACTGGTTCAGGGCCACTCACAATAGCAATGGCAGGATTCGAACCCACGTCTGCCTTACCCTGGAAGCTGGCCGGCTGGGCTGCCCCAGTGCTGTGACGCCCCCAGGGGGGCTTCAGCGATGTCTGGGGGTGCGGGCAGCCCAATGCAGCGTGTAGGGCTGATGCCGGAGCTGGCTCCCTCTCCCCATCCCTGTGTCTGTTCCTCACCTTCTCTGTGTCCTTCCTCCTCTGCAAAACGGGGATGATTTTATTACACACCTGGGAGGGGTGTTGTGAGACTAAATTGCGCGAGGTCAGAAAAACACTCTGTCAGCCGCTGTCTGCATACCGTCTGTGACTGCCCCCAGCGGCCTGCCACGCGGTGCTGGCTCTCCCAGCTGGTCTGGCTGCAGGACCCTGTTCTCCAGGGCATGGTATGACACGCTGGGTTCGGTGACCCAGCTCAGAAGGGCCTGGGCCCCTCTCTGGACGTGGCCCCTTCCTCTGGGAGCCTCCCTCGGTCCCTCCATGTGCCGCCAGGCTCAGAGGTGGACACCCGCCCGCAGGGTTGCAGGCAGGGCATCTCCTCTGTTGCCACCTCTGCCAGGACCTCACCATGCCAGGCGCCCAGGCAGGGCCCCATGTGTCGGGGGGAGGCCTGCACCTGGGGACTCCCCAGTTCCCCCACCCTGGTGCCGGGCTGGTGGCCCCGGAGAAGGCAGGGACAGAGATCAAGAAAGTGTTCATGCTGTGGTGTTCGAGCCCCAGCTTCTCACAGGCTGGCTGTGTCACCTCAGGCAGGTCACTTAACACCTTGGAGCCTCAGCTTCTTCCTCTAGAACCCCTGCTGCCTTGTAGCGGGTGGTGGGGCCCCCATGAGACACGCCGTATGAGCTTATATGGAAATGCCCAGCACTTGGAGTGCCTGAGAATGGCTGAGCTCCTTGGGGTGTGGGTGGTCACCCCCAAACTCCCAGGCGCCAGGGCGTGGGGTGGGTGTGTGCCAAGGCCCAGCCACGCTGGCCTGCCCACCCCCGTGGGGCGCTGGGAACATGTGAGGCACGGAGGGACAGCTGGGAAGCGACTGAGGGCCGTGGGGGGGGGTGCCGCCGCCCCCAGTCCGCCTCCGCATCATTCAGGAGGGGCCGAGGGGCCGAGCAGCCGGGGTGGTTCTGTCTCGGCCGGCCTACGGACGGATCTCTCGCCTGACCGAGTGACAGACACACGAACAAGGCAGATGACAGCACCCCCTGCGAAAGAGCTGGAAGAGACCACGGAACACTGACGGCAACGTGGCCAGCCCTGCGGGTGCCAGGAGGCCCCTCCCCTGCTGCCGGGGTGCCAAGGCCGCCCGCCGAGAGGACACAGCGTGTCTTACTCCCGGGAGGAGGAAGGAAGCCCGGAACAAGCGCTACAGAACAATCCCACAGCTGAGACGCCATCTGTGTTTTCCTTTTTTTCTTTCTCTTAGTTTTTAAAACAATATAGTGCAGACTGCACTTCTCACAGTAGAATATAATGGTCAATTTTAGTATAAAAAAAAAACATTCTCAGAGATTTGTAAATGCACTTAGTGCTTGAACAGGCCTTGGAGAGAGATACAGTACCGCTTCCGGGGCGCCAGAGGGGCCAGGGCCAGGGCCTCGGGCCTCGGGGGCTGGACGGGGACCCTGCCGGCCGCCCCTCGCCCCTGGGTGGTGTGGGGCGGGCCATGGAGGGCAGCTGGCAGGAAAGGAGTTGCATGGGCCTCGCCGTTAAACCGGCGGGTTACCCCCTCGCTGGGTCCGAGGGAAGGACCCCAAAGAAGGCAAGGCGGGGACCCCCGGGTGGGGTCTAAGACGGCAGGCCCGTCGTTAACCCCTGTGGTGCCTTTGTGCGAATAGGGAAATGGCACCCCTTCCTCAGGATTCAGAAAATTGCCGTAATAAATATACAAGTCTAGGATGCAAGTGGCGTGTCCTTGGACGAGGTGCCTTGTGCAGGGCACGGCCTATGCAGCTGTGCCCCGCAGCCCTGTAAGATGTCCCGGAGAGGAGGGGACAGGGTAGCCCCGGGTTTGGACAGTGTGGGGGTGGGGTGCGGTTTTCCTGTGTGGGAAGGAAGGGGGGCAGTGGAAGGGGAGGGAGAGTCTAGAGGAGGAAGGGCAGGGGGCCGGGCAGTCCCTGGGGCCTCTGTTAAGGTGGACCGTCACCTGGATTGGCCAGTGGGGGACACTGTGGGACCAGTGACTCTCTCTGCTCCTTTTCCAGGTGACTGGGGAGCTTATAGGGGGAGCTATCTGACCCCCAGGGGCTACGCTGAACCCACCCTGATTCTAAACCATCAATTTCTTCCTGCATCCCACCCTGGTCTGTGCGCTGCGCTGGGAGAGCCAAAAGCAGCACTCCCGGTTTTAAGTGGTTTCTCTCTCCCGCCTCTGCCCACGTGGGTGGAGGAAGGGGTGGATGTCAGCAGCCGCTCAGGGGCCCTCCCCGTGTCCTGGGACAGCTGATGGGTGGGGAGGGGCCTTGATGAGCAAGGGCACCCTGCCAAACCTCGACAGGCACGGCCACAGCCAGCCTAGCTTCCTGTGGGCATCGATGGGCCCTGGCACCACCGACCACCGCTCTCCACCGGCCGCCCCCCTCGGCGCCCTGTCCTCGGTCCGTGCATCCACCAGGCAGGCCTTATCTGTAGACGGGAAGGCGGATGTGGGCGTGCTGGTGGTCGAGCAGCCGGGGCACGGCCACCGTCTCATAGCCCTTGCCCAGCATCTGCTCCTTGATGCAGGGCGGCCGGATGTCGTTGATGAGATACTCCAGCGACTGCAGGCTGCTGCTCAGCACTGCGGTGTTGCACACGCTCTTGCTGGGCAGGCCTGAAAGGGCCTCGGCGGGGGGCCCCGTCAGCTCCCGGGCCACACCGGGCCCCAGCTCAGGGACCGCCACGGCTGCGGGGTTGTAGCAGTCGCTGGTGGGAGTCACCAGCACGCTGTTCCAGGGGGCAGCGAAGTACTGACCCACAGTGAAGCTGGCGGGCAGCCCCACGCTGCAGTTGAGGGGTGACCCACTGGCCCGCTCGTACGCCCGCCCCCCACAAGCCTCTGGGGACTTGCTGGCCGCCGTGCCCCCGCTGTAGGCCCGCAGCGGCTGGGGTGGCGGTGGGGGCGGCTTCTGTGGCCACAGCAGGTAATCCAGGCTGCCGTCCACGTACCCTGCAGGCTTGGTGGCTCCAGCCAATGTCAAGGCCGCTGAGCTTCCCTGGCCCAGCTCAGCGCCTTTGCGGCAGTCGGGCAGGCCGGCAGCGGCTGAATAGGCCATGCCGGGGAAGCTGGGCATGGGGCCGTGCTTGGCTGGGCTGGGGTGGGGCACAGCCACGCCTTGGCAGGCAGCGGGCGCCGCGCCCGGGGCCTGGCACTGCTGGTTGAGCTGGTAGAGGATGCTGTGGATGGAGGGCAGGTTGGAAGGCGGCAGGGCCAGGCTGCGGCCAGGCAAAGGGATGACGGAGGCGGCGGTGGCCGCGGCTGTGGGCAGGCCAGGTGGCGGGGCGGGTGCCTCAGGCGGCTTGGGGTAGGCCAGGGGCCCCAGCGTGCTGGGCGCTGGGTAGGGTGCGATGCCCACCTGCACGGTGGCCGGCGACAGCTTGGTCCGCTTGCCCTCGGCGCTCTTGAGCACGCTTTTGGCAGGCCCGGTGGGCGCGGCCACACTGGAGGAGGAGACCGCGGCCTTGACGATGGCCAGCAGGCCCTGGTAGCCTGCGGCGTGCTGAGGGTAGGGGCTGTAGCGCTGGCCGCAGGTGTCATAGCCATTGACAGTGCGGCTGAGGTGCTTGTGCTGGGGCACACGGATGGTGGTGGGGAAGATCTTGATGGACAGCGGGCTGTTGGCCACCTTCTCGGCATAGGCGTCCAGCTCAGCCGGGCTCGGGTAGCGGGAGGAATGCATGGAGCTGGCTGCCGTCTCACCTGCAGGGACAAGTGAGGAGAGGAAAGCACAGGTGAGCGCAGACCGGGTGACATGGGGAGACCGGCAGCCACCGCCCCCCCCCCCACTGCTGCCCCGCAGGCCCCCTGGAGCTGCTGGACAGCCCTTCCCCCTCCTCTCATTCACTCGCTTGCCCCTTTGTTCTTTCTCAGCTGTTAAGCATGGGATCAATGTAAATAAAGGAATGAGCACACATCGTCAACTGGCTGAGCTTTCCAAACGGGACACACTCATAACAACACCTGGTGACGGACAGGATACGACCAGCCTCCTGAGGGCCCGGCACTGCCTTTCAGGCTCTGACCGCGCCCGGGGAGCAGCCCTCCTGCCTTCTAACCACTCGGGCTAGTTGTGCCCGGTGTGGGCCCCTGGAGAGATGGATCGTGTGGCGCACACGCATCTGCGTGAGCCTCTGCTGCTAGAGGCTGTGTGCACAAGGCCCATCTAGGTGGCCGTGTGTGGCAGTGGGTCATTTTTCGCATTGGCGTGTGGTGTGTGTGTATGACTACATCACAATGTTCTCATCCTTCCTGCTGATGGTGGGGGAGCTGGTCCCACTTTGGGGCTGATGGTGACGGGCCCCTGGTCCCGGTGCATGTATCCTGCGAGTTCCGTTGGCAATGGGCCCCGAAGCAGAACCGCCGGGACGCAGGGGAGGAGGTTGCCCCACTTTAGGACACAGTGTCCCAACAGCTCGCTAGAGACGGTGCCAGGGTCCGTGCCCGGGGCTTCACACCCTCCATGGCGTGTGGTGGTGTCTCCTTTTAACAGTCCTCCGGTAGGTGTTCATTCCTTCTACCCCTTTGCCTCTCAGTGCCTCCCTTTCCTTGTCTGCCAAGCGGGTGGTTCGGTGCGTGGCTCCATGCGCAGAGCCCAGTTTGGGCCTGGCGGAGGGGAGGGGTGTCAGCGGGAGCTGCTGCTGGGGGCTGTCACCTGGCGCTCACACTTCCTGTCTGGTCAGTAGGCAGGTGAGGAGGGGCTTCACTCCCACGGCTACCCAGCCCCTTGCCGAGTCCGCTCATCACCTGCAAAGCCATGGCCTTTCTTGTGAACTCTATATTTTGTGTCAGTGGGCACCACTGGCTCCCCCCACAATGCAGGCAGGTCACGGGTGGGCTAACCCCCTTCTCCCATCCGAAGCTCTGCCCTGGGCCCAGGACACTCCTCCGTGCTGCCCAGGCCCTCTTGGAGCCTGGGGCCTGCGAGAGGCCGGTAGAAAGATCCTCCCGGCTTTGGAGCTGGCTGGCCTGGCTGTGGGGCCACGTGGCCCGGTGTAAGTGGCCTGCCCGGCTGAGCCGCAGTTTCCCCAACCCATGGAATGGGGGTCATGATCAGGCCAGATCTGCAGGGCCACCTTGAGGAACGACTGGTCCAAGTGGCCCAGCAGTGGGCGAGGTGCATGGTAGGTGCTGGGGATCGTGACCTGTCTGGGTCCTCGGGCGAGTAGGAGGACCTTCCCCACCCTGTGGGCACCCCCGGGACCCACCCGTGACCCCAGGGGACTCCACTCTGAGCCTCAGCTTGCACATCTGTAAAATGGGGGCACTGTGGCTAACTCAACCTCATGCGGGTTTAGCGAGTCATCGGCGGTGGAGCGTTAGCAGAAGCGGGTGCTCTCCCCTGTGCCTGGGGCCGGGGCTTGCGCACAGGTGGCCTGGCACTGAGATGGGGGTTCAGTGCAGGCACCGCGTCCCGCCCTTCCAGAGCCTCACCCATGCCCCCTCATGGGCTCACAGCCAACCTGGGCTTCGATGGGAAAGGCAGGCAGTGCAGGCACACTGGGGAGCCAGCCCGGCCAGGGCTTCAGAGGGGGCTTTTTGTAAGAAAGAGCAGCCCAGTTAAGGTGACAGTGAAAGGGGTGAGGAGGGGGGAGAGAAACCCATCTCAGGCAGAAGCGGCAGCGGGTCCGGGTGGGAACTGCTTCGGAGAGCGAGCGGAAGTCCAGAGCAGTGTATGTGCGGAGGAGACCAGAGAGGCGCCAGGCAGGGCGCGTGTGGGGCCGAGACGGAAGGGGTGCTCCTCGCGGCAGGGCAGCGCCCCTGTCCCCCAGGGCGTCGGCAGCCGGGGGAGGTTTTAAGCAGGGGAGGGCAGGGGCAGGCCTGCATGTTAGAAAGGTCACTCTGCCGCCCCAGGGTTCCGGAGTGCGGTCTGACCTGGGCCAGGCGGCGGGGAGGGGAGGGTCAGGCAGCACCCAGAGCAGCCTGGAGCAGGGCTCTCTGTCCCCCCCTGCCACCCCGCCCCTGGCCTCACCTGGGCCAGGCAGGTACAGCTGGCCAGGGGCCCCGCCCTGACCCTGCTGGGGCCGCCCCCACCAAAGTGGCCTAAAATAAACTCAGTGTGGAGAATGGAAATGTCACTTTGGGCAATGGGGGAATCTTTCTCTGAGATTGGATTTAAACTACATTATACAAGCAATTTCATGGGCACTTAGCACCGCTCAGAGAGTCCCGCGAAAAAGGGACCAGCTCTTCATTTACCAGTCATAAATCAGCAGTTGCTATAATGAGCACAAAAATGTCACTTTTATGCAATTTTACAGATGAACAAAACTGGTGAAATTAACTGTGGTAACCTACTATAGTCAGCAAAAGCAGCTGCCGGGGAAAAAATTATATCTGTATGTATTTTTGTTCCTCTTAAACTCTCTTCCCAAGCAAGTTCCTGCCATTGTGGTGTGAAAACTCATTTGTCCTCACCATTATACTTTCATTTGGAGTTTATCTTGAGTATCCAATGAGCCACCAACTGTGAAAATGATTAAATCTACAAAATCTATCTAATGGATGGAATAAATTAGGTGTTTAAAACCTTAAGAAGAAGGAAGTGGGGGAGGCAGAGCCTGTTAGCAGTTCCCACGCATTGAAAGAAGGCCCGTCTGGCCCCTGAGTGCTCAACGGGGCGCCTCGGGGGTCGGCCCCTCTAGCCTTTGTTGGAGCCAGTGGGGGCAGTGGGACTCTCACCCCAGACTGCCCTTGGGTGAGTGCTCAGTCCGCGCCCGGCTCCAAGCCCACGGCTCTTCCCGGTGGCTCTTGTTTGGAGCACCTGCCAGCTCAGAGAGGTGGGGCTGGTCCCTGTTTCACAGAGGAGGAAGCAGACGAGTTATGGCATTTGGCAGGTAGCCTCGAAGATCTTCCACGCCCCCCACCCCAATGACTCTCATGTCCCTGGATTCATGTACTTTGAGGTCCCCCTCCCACTCCAAATGGGGCTGATCTGGACAACCTGTAAGGTCCTGTGCAGGTAAAGGAGTATGAACTCCGGGGCGAGGTCATAAAAGGCAGCGCAGCTTCCTGCTCGCTCACGCTCTCTTGGGTCACCTGCTCTGGGGGCGCCCGCCCACGTGGGGTTGAGCCGAGGCCTTCGGCAGAAGCATGGGAGCCTTCTCAGAAGCGGTCCTCCTGGCCCGGCCAAGCCTTCAGATAGCTGCGGCCTGGTGAGCAACACAGAGCAGAGCTGGCCAGCGAAGCCACTCCTGAAGTCCTGATGCGCAGAAGCCACGAGAGTGCCCACGAGACTCTTGATGGTTTAAGCCCCTAAGTTTTGAAGCGGTGTGTTTACACAGCAATAGGCAACGAACATAGGCCCCGTTTGACGGAGGAGGAGAGGAAGCGCAGCAATCCCCGGGAACGCAGAGCTGGCATGGGGCAGGCTGGGATTTGGACCCTGTCTGCTTGCAGAGTCATCCTCGCCACCTCCGGTCCGCCCTGCACCCCCAGGCAGACCCCGGGGGAAGCCAGGAAGCTGGTGGTGCTCTCCTGCTCCTTCCACGGGTTGAGGGGGAGTAACTGTAGAGTCAGCCTTGCAGCTCAGAGAGGCAGGAGGTGGCCCATCAGGGCCCGCACGCGCAGGCGGCCCTGTCTTGGCTTTGGAGCCAGTCTCGCTGGGACACGTGCTTGGGTGGGCCTGCTGCATACTCTTTGGAGGTGAGACCCCAGGCGGACCTGCGGGTCACCAGAGGCCTGGTTGACACCTGGCCTGGCGGCAGTGCTGCTGTGGCCACCGCCTCACGCCTTGCTCCTGAGGCTCCCTGGGGCCTCAAACACCGCCTCTTCCCCCAGAGGATCGTGGCCATGACTCGGGGTCCCTGGGCACTCGGGCCAGCCTGGGTCCCTGACCCCAGTTCAGTCGAAGGCTCCATACCTTTGCTGGAGGTGGGCCCAGCCACCAGTGTTCAGTGCCATTGTACAGCCTTGTTTCGGCAAATGTAACGACACAGAAAAAGGTGTCACATGAAGGAAGCAGCTGAGCCACTGTCTGCAGTGGGCTTCTAAGCGATTGGGAGGAGGGGGGCAGGCTCACAGGCTAGTGAGGGGCAGGGGAGGCGGCCCATGGCCCTGCAGGCCTCTTGGGAAACCCCCGGACCCAGCTTAGGTTTCACTCCCTCCATGCCTTCCCTGGTACTCAGAGCAAACCCAAGTCCCTGTCCTCATGGGCCTCACCATCTAGCAGGGAGAGAGGCTGCTGTGTCCTCCACCTCCTCCAGGCTCCCAGCTGCCTCTCCGTGGAACCTGCAGCGAATGAGCCCCTCAGTGTGAACGCGGAGCTGTTTGAGCCGCACTCCCGGCCCCGACCTCCTGGCTCAGCCTGCCCTCCCCGCGGGCCTGGGCCTGGGCCCGGGCCTCCGCTCACAGACTTGGGGCTGCCTCTGGCCAGGCACTGCCCAGAGCACAGGGCGCCCTTGGGAGGCGAGCTTCGGGTTTTAGAAAAGGAGGTTGGACATCCAAGGAACAGAGTGACAAGCAGGGGCTGCAAACACATTCCCACGTCTTTGCTGACCCCTGGAGGGCAGATGAGCTGGGGATGAGCCAGAAGCCCCCATGGGGCAGGGGCTGAGGGGGGCAGGGGGGGCGGGCCTTGCCCAGAGCTGCGGACTTTTGAAATGATGTGTGAGCACCGAGCAGGGCAGACCACACACCTGCGGGGCCAGTGAATTCTTGACCTGAGGCCCCGAGAGGGCCACCGGGCAGCAGCCAGGCAGAAC